TTCTTTGGGTATCCTTAAGGTCTAACAAACATGCTGAACGTATTTTCTTTCTCAAGAAAACAAAACGAGGAACCGCTCATAGAAACATTGCTCCATATCCCTGCCAGTGGTCAAAAACTCCACAGTGTCTCTATATCTTTAACAAGTGAAATCAGATGTAGCTCCTTTTTAAATTCGTCTAATTAATTGTGTTAGTGTGTTGTATTTTATGCAGATGTAACTGCCAGTGGTGGCAGCTGTGCAGTTGTTTAGCCAGTGGCTTCTTGACACTACTGTGGGTCATTCATTTCATTAACACAGATATTGTGGCTTACATAAAACTTCAAGGCTGATGTGAAGGTTTTTTTTCTGATTTGGCTACGTGAATGTGACTTTTCCTAAAATGAAATGCTCTTCCAAGCACAAAGTAAAACACGTCCTAATGTTTTTTTTCACCTTTTAAATCCCCTATGACACCAGGCCTGGACACAGTGGGAGTCTGAGTTTCAAATTTATGCCAGCTGAGTGGTGGTAGTGTGGTGAAAGAGCTGCACTTGTGCTGTTTCTACCAAGATTCCCACTTCCATTGCTTAATCACAGTTAATGCTTTGTCATGCTTTGCTGGTGATGAGGAGCTGATTTGAAGGAAGTTGAGCCAGACACCAGTATGACAGACCGAGTTACGCACTGGTCATCACAATGAGTCAGCATGAGTCGTCGAGCAGTGACGGTGCTGTAGATAGAAAGGGTGACCATGTAAGGTCAGGGATAATAATGATTGCATTTTACTTTTGTCCTATTTCAACAGAATGGAATAAACACTTTTTTTTTTTTTGCAGATGTACATAGAAGTTCATAGTTAAACCTTTGTCTGTGTCTTGTGAATAGAAGCTGACATCCTGCTGAATGTACTGGAGAGCTGTCATACAAAGCTAAGAGAGTTGTCTACTCTCAGACTCTATATGCACCCAGATAGCTATTATACGCTGGAAAACGTGTTTTTTCCGGCTCCTGGGTTTTTCCCTTTCATTTAAGTTGTCATTTCCTACGACGAATACCTCAGTAGTAATTATTCCATTAAGATCTGGGACAATCCCCCTGCTCTGAGTTTGAAGCGAGCAGATGAGACGTCTTGCCGTCACAGATCAAGTGAATGTAGTTGAGATTGGGGGCCGAGCTTTGTTGCTGTAGGTTTGCTGTTTATTTTTTCATATTGTTGTGTCTCAGCAGCTGTTTGTGAGGATGGTTATCAGTTAGCTGCTTCTTAATCTCCAGCAGTGTCATCCACTTTATCACTTCATCCAAGACAGTGATTTCTTCCAGAATTGTTTTGTGTTGGTAATTACACCTGTCATCGTTGTTCATCATAATCTTTGGTTCATTTAACAAACCGATAACGTAACTAACCAGAAACACAATGTTGTCACCACAGGGCCGGGCTGAAACAAGTGTCTGTGACCTTATATGTTCATCAGCAGCAACGTACATCATCACTTGACAATCAGGGCTACACCCATCCCTATATAAACAAACCAGACAAATTATCTGCTGTCATAACCCATCAATCCTCGTTTGAAGAACAAAAATCTTCTTTTGCTTTAAAATCCATTGCAAAATGTCCAGCATGCTGGATAATGTCTAGTTATAGATCGGGGAGGGTTGTAAAATAGATTTTCTCTTTGTTTGTGTTGATTTTTAGCGTCCCTTATTAGATGTATGTCATAGTTTGGCTCCGTGCCATGACGCCGCTCCAGCTGAGCTAATGATAGAGGAGGAAACCCAGAGTGTGGAGAGACAAGAGTAGAAAGATAGTGCCCTCTGGAATGTTTTGAGAAGGGGAGGGGTGGCACACAGGAAGTGGCATGGGGTTGAATTTAGCCAACAAGGTCTGTCTCTTGTGTGGGTGGTGGGGCACTCAGACAGCAAGGTCAGGGCCTTCAGTGCCAGCTGTCATGCCAGTTGATTCATGAGGGATCCTCTTTGGCTTTCCCTCAGGAGTCCAGTCGTTATGGTTTTGAGATGACTCCATAGAAATCTTCATTACACAGAGAAAGTGGCTGCGCCTTTATAAATCTGTCTAAATCATACAAGGAAATGTGAAGCTGTTGTTTTGCACTACCTTTGCTTTATTTTTATTTACTTGCATTTAATCGTTATGATTTCTGGAAACAAAATTATTCTATTGTACTTATTAGAAGTCTTATTAGTGCATTGGATCAGTTGTAGTAGTAGCACCATGAGACAAGCCACACACTCACATGGTCATGCTTGTGTTTTTATTGGAGACTGATGTGAACAACACGATCTGGAAAAAAAAAGGGTGTCATGTAAAGCTACACCCTATTCGTATTTTCCAACCTCCCCTAAAATTGCATGCTGAGATAGTGTCAGGAGCCCCTATCACCCTATAAAGGAAAATAAAGTAATAAAAAGATGGATAGATAGATCTCCAATAATTAGTTGATTAAAATGTATTTGTAGAAAATGCATGTAAGATCTGAATTTGCTGATTAAACATGATGAATTACATAGAAATATTTAGTGACTGCAACAAGTCAAATCTGCCCGATGCGTGTGTGATTAATTATTATCCCCCAACTGATCTTTCACTATTTAAACTCTGAGAAAAGCATTGTTAGAGGGGAAATTGAGAAAAAAATGTATAAATAATTGTAATCAGGCATGTCCACATGTATCAGTGAGGAGAAGATTAATGTTAGACACATCTCTCATTATAATAATGCAATACAGTTTAACAGGTTTATCAGAGAACAACGCCTGGAAGACTGAAGAGTTTACCTCAGGTCAAACAGGGCTTGAGGTGCGTTAATGTGTGTGAACATTTTTCTGACCTGACTCACTGCATTCCAGCAGTATCACTTCGACTCCACTGGAAGTGCAGTATGAATTAAGACGAAACCTGACGATTCGGTTTTGAACCAGTTAGAAATGCTTTTCCCAGGAGCTTCTGCACTTCGGTTATTCCAACCCATCGTTACTCATTTATCAGCTGTCAGACTTGTTTGGATGGTTCTCCTCCCTCCACCCGCACTATGTTTTGATCTTTTTAAAAGATCCAGCAGACTGCTATACAAAATGAGATCACTCTCCAAAAGGAATATCACTGCAGGGTTTTTTTGCTTATGGGCCTGTATAGGAGGTTGTGTTTGGCGTGTGTGTGTGTGTGTGTGTGTTGTTTGTATATGTGTGTGTATTGACGAGGCGTGACATAGAAAACAGTCTTAGTGGAGCGTGCCGCTTCTACAACAGAGAGGACTTTGTGTACCTACCTGCAAAATTATCCCTCAGCTGCAGTGTGTCTAATGTGGGTGACAGCTTCTTGTCACACCTCTCTCTCTTTTTATTTGACTTGTTTCCCGGCTATGCTGCTAAAAAAACATTTTTAATTAACATTGATAACATTGATTAACATTGATAAGTTGTCTCATCTCAGGAATTAACTTTTCCTGCTCACCTCTCTCTCAGAACTACTACTACTTCCCCCTTAACATGAGCACAGTTTGATCATCATCAACTCCATCATATCTATATTTCTGTTTGTTTAGTGTTCCCTATCTTGTCCCGGATATTGAATAATAATTTAATATTTTGGCAAAGCACAGTCTTACACTTGCAGCGATTCATTAATCCTCCGCAGATGCTGTGGGAGATACGGCTAAAACCAGCTTCTTCCACTTCCTCTCTTCTTCAGCCCCATGCTGTGCTTCTGACAGTGTTTAAAAAAGATCTAGGATCTGTGTTTATAAGAGCTCTCTAACCCCATGTAAACCCTCTGAAATCTGTTTGATCCCCAAGATATTTTGAACACTAATTTGCATCAGCCCTGCTACTTCTGTGCTCATCCATCTTAAGATACAAGTTTAGTTTAGTGACCACTGACCTTTGTTTTTGCATGAACCCACAAATCTCCTTTTGATTCTATGCACAGTGTTTGGTTTTGAGAGTGTATGCATAGCTGTAGACATTAAATTAGATGAAACTGCATGTGCATTCTTGCAACAGCAAATATGATATACTGTATATAATATTAACACAGGTGATTGTGCAAGACATAACTGGACAGGTTCAAATGATCACACAATCAGCCGTGGGACAGCAAATATACAAAAGTCTATCAAGGCATGCAGATATCTGCTAATAAGTAATTCACACTGTAATGTGCAGACCATTTAAATCTGCACTGCAATCTCCTCTCCGCCTCTCCTCTTGTGTGTGCCAGTCTTGGACTGCAGTGGTTACTTTATTTTTCAGCCCCAACAAACCTTGTGCACCTCTGTCCTCTCATTTACAGGAGCCTCACAAAGCCTGTTAGCTGAGATAAGAGTCCAGTTTGTCTGTCCATCTCCAAATATCCAAGTATACAGATTCCTCCATGCACCTCTCCTGTAGAAATGTTCAGTGCTGTTGTTCCTCAGTGTCCTCATCCAATTCTCAATGCTTTTAAATGCACTTAGAAAACCATGCATGCTTGCAGATGAGGGAATAAAACTAATCAGGTAAACAGTTTCTTTTGTATGATAACCTGGTTTCTTGACCATTTTTAAATTTAAACAGGAATCTAATAGGGCTTTCACTAAAAACCAAAGACAGAGGAAGTACTGCACTGCTGTAACAGCAGTGCAGATGAAAGGGAAAATGGTGCATCTTTGTTTCCTATATATATATATGAATCCAAACGCACGACAAAAAATAAATGAATTTAAGATTGAAAGTTTCCAAAACTGAACAGTACACTGTTTGTAAAACTCAAACTGTAAGAAAAACTTACAGATATACAACATGTAGGATGTTAGCTGCCATCAGGTGCAATAGTCACCTTATATTATATATTTTTGCCCTTTGACAAATTTTTCTCCTTCCATTTGTTTGGTTTTGCAGTGTAATAATAATAATAATGAGTCCATCTTGAAACTCTTCTGTCTGCAGCATACCACTCATTTAAGTGTAAGACTTTACAGCATAACTGCATTTATGTGCCTTTTCTTCTCTCTCCTCCACAGGCGTGTTGATGGGCGAGTTGTCTCGGCCATGTCGGATGATGCTGCTAGTGAATCCACAGAGCGGGAAAGGACAGGCGCTCACCCTGTACAACAACCACATTCAACGCATGCTCAACGAGGCCGGTGTCCCACACACTCTGGTCATCACTGGTGAGTTGAAGGCACAAGTCCACTCCACACACAGATATACAGCCTGAGAATATCCACATTACTGCACGCCATTATTGGAGAGTTGTGCACAACATGCAAAGGAAAGAATCAAATTGTTGTGTGTTAAAGAAAGATTAGCTAAACCTGTTCATTTTGAGATAAAACCTAAAGTAATTTTGCAAATAATCCATCATTGCACAAATGCGCACGACTATGACAATTATGTCGTCTCAAATTTGAACCTGAAAGTTCGCCTGTAAAGTGTGATGAATGTTTACACCCACAGTTTAGGTGTAACCCAGGGATTTGTTTTTAACGATGAAGGGATCATTTGATCATGAGTGTGTGGTCTGCAGGATACTCAATATCAATCCAGACAAACATGCCCAGGTGTCCCTCCCTGCATCACAGAGTGGAAAGAAACTGGTCAATAAGACGATGTAATTTTCCTGGGCATTGTTAATTTCTGGTTTTGTTGATTGAGTTGCTTGATTGCCCAACAAAATTAATAGATGTTTGCACATGCACTGACTCACACCCAGAATACACACAGAATAGACACATTATGGATCCCACATATCACACCCTCATGCACAGAACAAAACACGTTTTTCGCTTCTTTTATTGTCAAGGTCTCACGGACATTCAGCTCTCACAAATCTTCCCACTTGTAATATCTCTTGCAGTGAATGATCATACAAACAGCCTCACACACAATCAAACACACAGCTCAGCAAAGGCCACGATAACAACAACAGCAACAGCTCCCTTCATGTCCCACAGATATTTGCTCACTGTATCACAGTATCCCTCCTCTAGTTTAAATCCTCTTCATGTTTTCCTGCTGTCACCATCATTATGCTGATCAGCTGCCTCTGACCCATATGCATGTAGAGATGTTATATAATAAATATGTGTACACACATATGGATAAAGACACATCCACAATAAACACACACATTTACACAAAATCCCCATTTGCCATGATTTGTTTCGATATAATCTTGCGTGTTGATGTGTTTATAGTCATCACTGTAATCTACATACATACGTAGTTATAATTACACAGTGCAGTGCTGGTCACACTCACTCATGCCATGCTGTATCGGGACAGATACGGTGCATTCAGAGTGTTACATTTCTTCACATGTTGTTATGTTGCAGCCTTATGCTAAAATAAGAAAACAAAATCACCTTTTCCCTCATCAGTCTGCACTCAATGACAGGTATCGGCACTCAAGTATCAGGTTTGTTTTTTCCTGCAAATTTATTAAAAAGGAAAAACTGAAATGACATTGACATCATGTAATCATGTCCAATCAGCTGAATATACCACAGGCGGACTCCAATCAAGGCGTAGAAACATCTCAAACATGATCATGAGAAATTGGAGACACCTCAGCTGAATGTCATAGCAAAGTGTCTGAATACTTATGTCAACATGATATTTTTAGTTTTTCCTATTTAATACATTTGCAAAAATTTCTAAAATTCTGTTTTTGCTATGTCATTATGGTGTATTAAGTTAGATCGATGAGGGATTTTTTTTATTTGAGCATAAGGCTGCAATCATAAGAAAATGTGAAGAGATTGAAGGGGTCTGAACACTTTCCAAATGCACTGGAGATAACTGATCAGCAGATGCAATGTAAGCTTGATAATATCAGTTATTCGGAGGAGTTTTCTTCTTCCCTTGTCTTCTGTTTTTGATTTTCATCCTCTGTCTGGGTTTGTTCATAAATCAGTGCAGTGTCAGATAACAGAGAGAAAATATGGCTTTCATCACAGTGAGAAGTGCACAAACAGAGAAAAGAGGGCAGACAGAGAGAGAGAGAGAGAGAATCACAGTGAGGAAGGCAGAGACGCATGAGAAATCCTCTAACTTAGACTGTGCTGAAAATGTGGAAAACACACACAAAAGAGTGAACTTTTTGTGATTTCCAAGATGAACTTTTTGACAAGTTAATCCTGGAGAATAGATTTAATCCTCAAATCTAGATCTGTGAAAGAGCATGACCATAGACAATCTCTCTGACTGATAGACTTCTAAAATAAATCTTTCACCGTAATCTCTCCCAAATGTTTTAAGCTTTGAGTAATGTCTCAGTAGAAGAATCTTAAACTTTTTCAGTTTCCATGCAGTTCAGTAACTCCCCAACAATCCTAATTAAGATCCACAGTAAAATAATACATTTAATTTACATAATTCAATTGAAATTCAATACAGGAGCTGTGTTAAAGCTGAAATCTGTAATGTTTTTAATTAATAGTGCACATTATTATATCATTTTGATGGGGTTGGGCAGGTCACAACCAAAACCTTCCGACTTATATATACTGTATATTTTGAGTTTGCAGTATCTGGGCACACAGTGACCAGAATGAAGCTACGCAGTTCATTGTTGATCTTTTGAAAAGTTGGTACCTCCTTCTAAGAAGGGTTTATAAGTTGTAATAACTAATGAGTTTATAAATGGTTAATAATTTAGTAATGCTTTATAGATCAGCTATAAGCCATTAATAAGACATTTTAGGTTTCAGGTTGTAAAAAAAAAATCCTCCTCTAGCTGCTATTTTCTGTCTGCCTTTACATCTTAGTTAGGTAATGGCTATCAGGCGTTACTATTAATGGTTAATAACAGTAAGAAAACAGCGACCTTTTATAACTCCAAAGGGATGATTCCAAAATGATTTTTCACAATCTTGCAACCCAAAAGTTGTTGTTTGGTACCTCACCTGTAACACATAACTAAACCATTAATTAACCATTAGTTACAAGGTATAAACTTGTACATGGTACTGAAACATGTTTGCTCTGCAGTAAACATTTAGTACAACACACAGCTACTTGGATTAGAGAGTCTGAATAATCCTGAACAGTATTTAGTGTGAGACTTTTACAGTTAAAAATCAAATTGACTCATTAATGAATGAATAAAAAATCTCTGCGAGAGAGTTTACCTGATGAAACACACTGTACAAGGGGACAGATGGAGAGGTGGTAGCTGCTGTCAAACTGTGTAAAGCAGATTAAATGAGCAAACATAAAACAAGATTTTAAATTGCTGGAAAACCTGCACCCACATGAGCTTTTCTGCCTTTAATGAGCTTCAGAGTGCAGATTGCACTGCTCATATTTGATTGATTACTGCATATCTGTATATGATGTCTCTTCATCTGTTACCCAGTGCAGCTCCAATATGCTTGGTTTTCAATACGACACAGTTACTTATTACTGCATATTGCATTTAAAACATTTAGCAGTCTGAATAATGCAGTGAACCATGAGAACCGTGAGATAAAAGAAAATGGCATTAGGAAGGAGCCATCCAGATTTAGATGTTGTAGACTGACCTTTTATCCAAATTAACTCTTGGTGACATGTTGAAGCTGTATCACCCACCTGAAGTGGAACAATAACAAACACAAACACAAACACAAACTGATTTCCTAAACAGCAGCAATTGGTAGGTTTTTAAACAAAAGGTTGTTGATTTTAGACTGAAATAACTTTGATTTCACTTGCTATAATGACAACTGTCAAAACATACACCAAACAAATGTGTAGTAGGCCTATTGAAATACATCATGTTGGAAGAAGTATTCAGATCCTTTAGTTAATACAGGTAAAAGTAGCAATACCATATACATATAATAAAATACATAGCCACTCGTTACTGTATATTATTACATTTTATATACTGATATATGAACATGTAAGCTGCATTTTAATGTTTAGAGGCACTGATTTATGTCTTTTTGAACTAAACTCTTAATATGCCAAGTAACTAGTAACTGTAGCTGTAAAATAAATTAAATTGAGTAAAAAGTACAATACCTCCCTCTGAAATGTAGCAGAGAAGAGGTATAAAGTAGAATAAAATAGACTTAAGTTCACAATTTGAGTAAATTTACTTAGTTATATTCCACCACTTTAAGACAATAATGGGTTACTTCTGCAGCTTTATTGTTATAAGTTGTTAATAATATATTTTATTTTAAATAAGTCTTTAAGGATGAGATGAATCAATGAGTTTAACAACAGTATATCGACTTCTCTAAATCCCATAAAGAGCAGGACAAAGCTGCTCATGCTATCCTAAACACTGGTATATTAGCATCTGATGCTGATGTTACACCGCACAACGTGAACGTGTCAGTCGTGAACGTAGCTTTTTCTAACAGCACCTGTAACAGCACATAATAACCCAGACAGCTAACACTATGCTAACTCTTGGCTCTGGATGTAATGCTATGCTAGAAGAAGTTAGCTAGTTAGCTAGATGCTAATTTACTTTAGAGTATTTCCAGTTTCTGAAAGGCGATAAAAGATCCCTCTAAAGTCTCTGAAGTCTCATACTACAGTAGGGTCACATGTGCAGCAGTTGCTAAACTACGATTCCAGAGTTCGCTGTTTGAGGGTTTTAGCGAACGCCAATTGTGACTCTCCGTAACAAGAGAAAAATGTGTTTTATAATAACACGTCTGGCCAAAACAGTTGCAAAGCAGCATGTCCATCTGCTCTTGAGAATCACTGGCATCTGTGCGAGCCGTACGGAAGTCTCTGTATGTGGATGCTAACAGAAGTAGACAGACTCATTATTGGGTCTCAGGCTGTGGCAGCTGTGGGCACCGCCAGGGGTGGAGGATAGATGAAGGATGACTGCTTGGCTAAGGGGGTCCAATGCAGAGAGAGAGAGAGAGAGTGTGTGTTTTTGTGCTCGTTAGTGAGCTTCTGCACGTGTCTATGTGTTAGTTAAGATGACACACTGATTCCTCCCGGGCAGCCTCGTATTGATTTAAACGTCAGCAACATGCTCGTCGTCCTCTCGTGCTCAGACTCATCTGCTAAATACAAATGACAAATGTTTAGAAGAGACAGATATCCCCTCGAACAACCTCTCTGTGCTGCTCCTTTTTTTTCTATCTTCTTCTCTCTATCTTTTATTCTTTTTTTATGACAACAAACCATGTGCTCTCTTAAAAAAAATCCCGTGGCT